CACACGTGTCTTCTGACTGACTGGTGGCCACTCTGGAACCCGGCAGCGCCTGCCAGGCCCTGGCCTCAGGCTCCTCCACAGCACGCTCTCCGCAGCCCTAGCGGGAGGTACGGAGGGCCAGCTCGGAGAACCCGCCCCAGGAGTCCCGGAGCCTGGACGGAGCCTGGACGGAGCGGGTGCGGGGTGAAGCTGGAGGGAGGCCGCTCGCCCCTCCCGCACCACGGGCACAGCCCCGCCCGCAAGAGCACCAGCCTGCAAGGGGGGAAGGCAAGCTACCCACAGACAGCGAGGCGGCGCTCGGGTCCCGACGGCCCCTCCAGGACGAGGCGCCTGCGGGCCGGACCCGAGCCCGGAGCCAGCGCGGGACCCCCGGCCACGGGGCCGGGGGACCAGCCATCTTAGCGCGAAGCCACTCACGCGGCGGCTCACCTCTGCCTCAGCAGTTTCTAAAGATGACAAAGCGTGGCTTTAACTTTTCGGAAAAACAAGACCAAAGCAAACCACCAGGCTGGTTGGTCACCCGCAGCCCCCTGTGGTGCACAGAGCAGCAGGCTGTGCCCGGGCTTCCTGCTCCGCCGCACGAAGGACCAGACTCACGCCGACCAGAGGGAGAAAGAGTCATTTATTCGAAGTCTTCACAGAGAACAGCGTTCTGACATTTCTTCATATTTAAAAACCGAATTATTCTCCTTCTACCAACATGGTGAACAAAGCACATACAACCACAGGCAGAGCACATGTAACAGCCAAGAACCAACCCGCAGGAACCCTTCCGGAATGACGGTCACTGTTAAGTAACTCTGAAGGTCAGGAGCTCCTAACGAAGGGCTGTGCGGAGCCGCACATCCCCCCACCGGCGGGTCCGCAGTCCTGCGAGCGCAGCCCCTGCAGGCGGGTCAGTTCACTCCCGCTCCACTCAGCCTCATGCCATCACGTGACTGCACCAACCACTGTGGCTTCTGGAGCGTTTTAAAGCCATCCTTCCCTTTGGACAGTCCTGAGAAGCTTAATTTTTTTTTTTTTTTTTAACTTCAAACATTTGTGGGAAAACAGGCAACATCACCACAGAGCCCATGGTGCCTGATGGTGCCTCCATCGGCAGCAGGGGGGCCCGCTGTCCTCCCAGGAATAGCAACACCACCTTGAAAACTACAGAGAAAACCAGTAAGGTGAGAAAAGAATGACACCAGGAGGAGACTACCCTCTTCTTTCACGTCTTTTTTTTTTCTTCCTTTTCAAAAACAGTATTAAATTAGGAAGCAAACAGAAGAAAAAAAAAAACGAATCCATTACATTTTATTATTAATACATCTCAGAGTGTTATCCTGTACTTCTAGCAAAAGGTACTAAAATTTTGGAAAATCTAAGCACAGGACCTATCAATCAAAGCAATCCTGCAGAGGTGGTCCCCAGTATGCAGAAACTCTGACTTTCTGGAAGCGCAGAAACAAATGTCCACATGCTGAGGGATGGATGGAGAAGGTTGAGCAGGTCTTCCGACGGGCCTCAGGTATCTTCCATCTTTGTGTGAAAACTGCATTGAACTCACAGGGGAGACTCAATTCAGATTCAGGATCTTGAGGTGGCACAACCAGGGTGGGCACAAAGGCATCACACAGCCCTGTGGAGACCGTTTACAAGGATGTGCCTTTGACACGGGCTCCACTGTGAGGGCCACAGCCTCTGGGAAGGTCGCCCCACAATGTGCACACTGCTGTCGGCTGATGGCTTTAGCAGTCCCATAATCCTTCCTCTGATGTCCAGGGTCAATGGGATCCTGGTCCCACCAGGGCTACGAGTAGATGCATGAAAAAGAATCTCGCTGTGATCTTTCCTGCAAAGGAAACAGCAATAAAATTTACTGCCCAGTCACAACGGAGGAATTCTTGTAAACGAGTACCTTTGTGTGTGCCTTTGCTCTCGGCTCTGGAGAGAGGGCCGTGAGCGGAGGACAGGAGGAGGCCAGGGCACATCTCACAGCCCCGAGAGGGGCTTTACAGCTGCACCATGTGCCACTCGCTTTGCTCACACAGGGCTGTGAAAGCCGGCGGCTATAACTTGGGCTCCGTTCACAGGACAGATACTAGAAAGGCAGCCTGTTTCAGCCCCGCACTCACTCCGACTGCTTTCGGGCCATCCTACACCGTGACAGAGGTATGCACTGCCTGCGTGGCAGGCGTGGCGCCAATGGGTGGAAGTTCGTTCCTGTCACGTCAGCAGAGCTCTAGCAACACCCACACACAGGGCACATACGCAGGGGCCTCCGCCACCGGTCAGCTCTGCTGCGGACGCTCGGGCCTGTCTTCGTGCGGCTGCAGCCCCAGCTCCCGAGCCTCTGGGCACTCACAGACAGGAAGGC